CAAGTAAATGAGATTCAGTATTGCTAGCACTCCCTGTTCTGGCTTTGTCCCCCTGTTTCATGAGACGATAATGAGCTAGCCATCCTGGGAGGCAGTCACACCTGACAGCTGTCCACACATCTCGGCGCCGCAGTGGTTTTCTCATTTCTCCCCACAGGATCGTCTGGTCTTTAGTCTATATCGGGCTACGGTTTGGAAACCGAGCTATCACAGTAACGACTTAAGTTCAGTGCAGTGAGGGTATCGCGGCAGGGGACTGGTAAGTTCATTCAAAAGTTGGGACAACTTCGGGAAATAAACAGGAGAGAAAAAAAAAAGCTTGTTTTGAGCGACTTGTTAACATCCACATAAATAGCTGATCATTGTTGGTCGTAAAAAAAAATGTTTTTTGACTGTTCTGCCATCTGAGCTGGCCAGGACATGATGCTGAAGATATTTCTAATCTCAACGAACCTTTCCTAGTCAGTAAAGATTAAATAAACAAATTCTCCTAATAATAGTACGCTCTAATTATTATTTTCTTCTGAGTCAAAAAAGAAGATAATTAAATGTATAAAAAATAAGCCTGGTTTGTTATTTCATTGCATTTCTTTGCCTTTGAGGTAACGTGTCTGCTCACATATCTGCTCTAAGTTCATGGTGAAAGCATTCACTCTTCAGGCCTTGACATATAGAGACTCACTATTATCCTACAGACGCATACAACTATATAAAATGGCTCCATCATAAAGGTTGTCTATGACCGTCCCTTTCTTGGTATCCATCCCGAGCATAGCAATTTCCATTAGGGCTGAAAATAGATTACATTACGTTGGAATTTCATTGGCCGTGTAGGGCTAACCCCAAGGGTCCACCTGCCATCTTACCTGCCTGTGGATTGATGGTATGTGTACGTGTGTGTGTTTGGGTTTGTGTGTATGAAAGCATGGCAGGGGCAGTGGGTGGGCTTTGTACATGTGTTTGATCACACCGCACAGAGAAAGAGGGTTTTCGCTGCAAACTGTGCCACAGATCAATATATCAATGTCAACGGTGTGTTTCCTACTTAGAGACACCACTGTGTTTGATGCCTGCACACATCCACTGTTGTCAAGCCTGTAACAATGTTTTTGGGTTGTTTTTTTTTTGTATGATTATCGTGGAAGCAATGCAGTGACAGATCTCCCTGTGTGTTTGACAGTTTGCAAAGTCAAGGATATTAAAGTTTAATGAATAAAGAGCAGAGCTGTTTCTTGCTTGTTCTGTAAAAAAGGATAACGGCTGACAGAGTGAGCGAGGTACAAAAAAATATATAGATGACATGGGGAGAAGTCTTGATTTTGGTTTAAACATCAGTAAAGCACAGATACAGCAACAAAAAAGCGCTGTGCCTAACATTGGATACAGTGTGCGTTAGAAGCAAAGCACCATGCTTACATGCTGCAGCACCCTGTTGTGAGTTGTGTCAAAGTCCCGATCACAAAGATAAAGGAACAAATGAAGGAGCAGCAATTATGCAAAGGATACCAATCGTCTGCTGAATGGCTTTCTTCAATCTTTACGTTCAAGTATGTGTGGTAACTGAACACTTCAATTGCTGTTTTTTTACAGACAGAAACTACTATTTCAGTCGCTCTGAAAAATAAATGGTAATCTCTTGTTTTTATGTATAACATGCTACTGGAGTTTTTCAGAATGGATCAAGTTGACTCATGAGGATCATTTCTTACAGCTCCTGTTAGGAACTTTTGGTTTAGTGTCATTTTTTGGCGCCCCCTGTGGAGAAAGTGGTACCTCTTACCTCTTGCTGGTCTCGTACTGACAAAAAAAAAAAACTCCTCCTGTTTTCACTTAGCAGTATCACTCACTGTGGCCATGGAACATTTTTTAAATTAAAAAAAACATAAATAAAGGCCTGTTTCTTAGCTTGTCATCAATCTTCTTGTTTGACACTTACACCCAGCAGTGGTTACAGGCATTACCAGTAACATTAAAGAAGTAATCAATCTTTTTCTGATGGTCTCGTTTGCTTTTGAAGGTCGTAGGCATCTTTTTTTTAATTTCGGTCTGTTTCATGAGCAGTGAAAACATTGTCGCAGGAGCCTTAAAAAAAAAGCCCAAAACTATGAAAATATATCTAATAATATCAGAATTGCTCAACTTATTTTCAAAGATAGATAGCTTTCTTTGAGTATTTTAAAGGTCATGCAGTTCTTGTTCTAACGCCATCTCTAACCAAAGAAAGCACATGGGTATTATCAGGTGAATCAGACAAATAACAAAGAAGTGAGAAGCTAAAAGAGAACAGAGGCGGGAGGGCAGAGAAAATAATGAATTACCAATTTCCTCAGCAGAGAGAGTTTTGCTTTAGAAAATCTCAAATGTCAAAGAACAGCCAGTTGTTGTTTTTTAAGTAATCCAATTTCTCACTATGTTGAAGAGGTCACAGAACACTACGGTGCATGAGTGGGCAAGAAGCCAGGTTCACAAGGTGCTTTGCAAACGCAGAAAACAAAAGAGTTACTTACACCGAGGAACTTGGAGAGAAGCTTCAGCATTTCGGTTGTGGTGTTGTACAAATCCCGCCAGTCTTGGGGCGGCATGCCGGGTGGACGGTCCTCTGGGGGCCCGTTGTACAGGAAGTTTTCCAATTGCTCAGCAGTCCATGCTGTGCCGCCTAGACCCTGGTTGAGGGCAATGGCAAACACTGGATTGGCCAGCAAAGCCTGAATACAACAGAAAACGCAAAAAGATTGTATTATCTAGGAAGTATGGGTGGTCAGATTCAAATAACTTTTATTAATACTATTTTAAATCAACTTAAATGTATTGCTTATAATTCTTATTGTATCCCTATATAATGTCTGTATATTGGGTTGTATACTTCTTTTATTATTTCCTATATTTCCTCATGATTTTACTCTGCATAAAAGCTATTGCAAAGCACACATTTTCCCTTGAAGGAAAAATAAAGTATTACTGATTCTGATTCCTCAATCACAGGACAGAATCATATATTTGGCCATGAAGTCCATTGAGAGGCTGGTGTTGAGCCACCACATGGACATCTCAAGCCCCCTGATGGACCCCTGCAATTTGCCTATCGGACAAACAGGTTGGTGAATGATGACGTCAACATGGGGCTGCAATAAAGCCGGCATCACCTTGACTCATCAGGGATCTATGTAAAGACTGAGAGGAGGAAGCAGGTGAGGCTGGGGAGTATCACATCCAGCACCCTGACAAATCAGCATTAGCACCCCCCAGAGGTGTGCACCCACCTCCGGAGAGCCTTCTGTTTAACTCCTGTAGTTTGCAGACAGCGTCACTGTCATCCGCCTCAGCCGGGAAGGTGATGAATCCACATGCAGACACCAAGCCCTCTGTTGTATTTAAAACCATCTGGAGCTGAACCTCTCAAGACTGTGGAGATGACCGTGGACTACAGGAGTGGTTTGGATATGCCACCAAACAGAACAGACATGTCTGCAGAAAAAAATCTGTATCAACCTGCCCTCCATGCAGGACTTATAGGAGTCCAGGGTCAGGAAACGGGCAGGTAACATCCCTGATTACGAGGCTTATCATGGTACCAGAATTGACTGATCAGGAGACTGATCATTGTTACTGATAATACTACATGTATTTTCCCCATAATTACTGGTTTCGTAATATGAATCTATTTCATTTACTGATGTTGTTGTTGTTGGTGGAAGTAGAAGTGAAGTATGAAAGTAAATACAACACAAAATCCTGCCTCTACAAAAACATTCATGTAAATACACGGAACAAAACAAACACACAAAACCAAGGGGAACAAAAACAAATGCTAATTTCTTTATCTGATTTCTTTTGTTTATATGACAAACGCTTGAAACATACTCAGGCCTCGGTCAATCACCTCAGGTCATGAATCAAACTGCAATTTCTCTAATCATGCGCTAAATGAAATCAATATGCTGATGTGGGAGCAAATATAACCCAGCTGAATCCCCATAGTCCATATTGAATAAGCATTACATGAATATGTATATGTATTATTGTGGAGTGGAATAAATAGTTCTGAGCTCTTAACACAGTAGCGCTTGCATAATAAGGTTATTTTACTCCCACCTGTTTGATTAAATGTGTTGCCCTTTATTTAATTGTTCCCCTCACTCCCACCCAGAAATTCTATCATTTTAAGCTGCTGGGAAATTCACCCCCAATTATTAACATAACACTGAATGTTCCTGTAATGACAGTGCAACTCCATAAACTTAAAATGAACTGATTAAAAGCCTGTTGAGTACACAAAGGAATGCTGAAAAGGAAACTTAACCCGCTAAGAGAAGTTAATTAACTCATCACGTCCTAACCAGAAAAGGGACAAATGAAAACATATCCTCTAAATGTGGAAAACCAATCATACCAGTAATTGAATGCACAATGTTGGGGAAGTAGAGGCCAGTGTACTCAATTGGGATTTCAGTGTCAACACTTGCGATGATATTCTGCTCAACATTAGTAGAGTAACATTGAAGTGATGTCTCTCAGAAAGGTAGCGTTCCCCTGCAAAACTGTCCAGCTTGAAATCTGACAGCAACCTTAAACGACTGAATAACGCCGATTAGAAGTGGATACGCCACATCCGTTTCTCTTGTAGTTATGAAGAAACAAGCAGCTCCAGAATTCTGGGTCATGTAGTATTAAACTGCTGTTGCTGTTACCATGGCAACCGAGGCTGTCGCAGATTTGACCAGGACTGAAATATTTAGATTTGACATCTAAAATATGTAAAAAAAAAAAAAAAGAAAAAGAAAAAAAAAGCTGTATCTTTAAAGACATTTCGTTAACAGTGTGTACATCTTTTCAGCTCCACATTGGGAGCTATCTCAGATGTGGCCGTGGTGGTGACGGTAATTGGTCCATGAGTGTAAAATGTGTCTGCGACCTTGAAGGACCTCTGAAGATGACAAACCTCCGCAGCCACCAGCTTCGTAGTGTGGGGCGGAGAGGGAAAGCGGCGGGCTGGGAGAAAATGAAGACAAAGGAGGATTGCCGGCCCATTTGTGTAAAGGTTAGGGCTAGGGTAATGAATACCCTGGCTATATGGAGCTCCCGATGTCTGCTTCCCTCCAGCTGCCTATAAGCTCATTTGGAGTGACACTGGAGTAATGTCAGTGTCAAGGAAATACAGCGAGAGGCAAAGAGGAAGGGAAGGAGAGAGGGAGGGAAGAGTCTCTGTCCTCTACCTTCTATAGATAATCCTTTCTGCCAGGATGAAAATTATCCTGCACTTATCCATAATTACTTACCTCCCTCGGTTTCCATTTCTAACAGACGGTGCAACAAATTGATGTACACGTAGCATATATTCTTACTTGCACTAAATATAAGTCTCATCATTCTCTTTTTACTGATTTTCTCTTCAGAACTGGATTGGATTGAAGGATTTTTAGTTTTTTTTTTATCCAATTCAAAAGTTGTTTGTCTCAGCCTTACCCGCACTGCATTGACTTGAGTGCTGTTTTGAAGGAAGTCCCAGACACGTGGCCCGAGCTCATCCCAGGAATCTGCCAGTTCTTTTAGCATGGCCAAGGCGTTGAATGTGCTGTTCGCCTGGAAAAAAAAAACAACAACAACAACAACAAACATTGAAAGCTTGCGTGGGAGTTTCATGTAACTGTTAGGAAACAGGCTGAAATTATTTTCGGTGTCGTTTTTATGAACTACAAAAGCAAAGGAGACCATCAGCATGAAGAGGGACAATTTCTATATTTTTTTTTATTTGAAATGCCTGAAAACACTACTGAAGGGTCAGTGCACACTGCAGACACTGCTTGATTCTACATTTTCCACTGCAAATGATCTCAATGAGAGACAAACGTGACCGTATAAAGAATGCAAGAATGACTTTTTTTTTGTTGTTGTTGAGGAATACTACTACTGCATTTACAGGACAAGTTCAGTATGAATTATAAGAGATACTGCTCTGTCCACAGGGGGCGCCAAAAACAAAACAAACAGAAAGTTCCTCACAGGAGCTTTAAACAGTTACTTTACCTTCCCCTGACTGAGAGAATATTCACTGAGCAGCTTCTGTTTCGCTCTGAGCAAATCCAGACATGAAAGCACTTCACATCTGCACATTTCAGCTAATCCCTGGAGGGACTCATCACATTGCAACACCGCCACCCCCCCTGTGGTGACTAATGTAAATGGGGTTATTTACCCCCGAACACTGACTTGTAAACAATCCGACGATGTCTGGAGTGAAACAGGGGTACTCCTCCGCCAGCACCGGGCCTCTTGCTGTGAACTCATTATGTATTCGCGTTGCAAAAACCTCCCTGCCTGCCTGATGTTTGCTTTGTTTATGGAGTTATCCAAATGATGCTAATATCTTGGAGAAATGTCTTGTCATGAAAATAGATCAGACTCGCTGCAGCCTCCTGACAAACGATTGTATTATTTTCATTTTCTTCCCCAGGTGGTAATTCTGTGTGACATCAGTTGTTTTTCTTTCCTCCACTGAGGGCTTCTTCCCATTTCACACAGTTACTGATTCAATTACTGTTACAGGCATGACCCTGAGCATACAGGATATTCAAACATTACTCCAACAAGAGGAGATATCAGTTAAGACTTAGCCATATCTGCTACATCTCAGTAACAAGAGAAGTCCTTGTGTGCACGCCAAATATATTGCATTTTTTCAACCTAGACTTGCCTCCTTCACAATGAGGCGAGCAGCAGGTGTATCGGGAGCGTAGAGGACCTTCCCCTGCAATAACGGCCTGAAGGTGCTCCAAATCACGCGCAGACCAGGTGTGCCCTCCAGGGTGTCGACCAGAGTCTGACAAAAATCATCTGTAGGAGAGACGAACAGAGGGGAGAAGACGGGAAATGTCAAGGCAGGAGCAAGAGAACAGCACTGGAATTCTGCATGTTGTGGGTCTTTCCTTTACGTATGCTCTTTCACTGGAAAGTTAAAGTGGAGTAAAGCGTGGTAATACCTGTAAGAAATCATTGAATTTCCAACAGGGAAGAAGAAAACATGATAAATATTGCACATGAGCTTGAAATTTATATGCGGCTACCATAGAAATCAATGTCAGGCCGGTATGAGAAAATATAAAGATAGTAGGAGCACAAAGCATACATTATTACCTGTGAAATTATATTCATAACTTCACTTTACAGAAACATGTAACATATAAGAGAAACCACGGGCCTAAATGGACAGTCAGGCAATAAACGGAATACAAATTGAAGTGTCTGAATCCAGCTCAAGTCACAAGCAACAATGATCCCAAAAGCTGCAGGATAAAACGTTTATCATGCATGTTGCAATTTATAAGGCAAGAAAAAAAGGAATAAAGGTGCTGATTAGAACATAGCTCATCCAGTTTAGACCCCGAAAAAATATTGATGTAAACACTACACTTCAGAATTTAGAGCTAGTATTTATAGACGAATCCAACCACTCAGGGCGCGGAGCCTATGGGTCATTGCAGAGGGGGCGGGGCCCTTAAACTGTCTATAGGCTATATAGCATATGCTGTAGCCTATATAGTAATATAGTATAGTATTTATGGTATAGTATCAGCTGTATGGAGATACAAGACGGGGCGGGACGAAGAGAAATGCCGCTGCAGATTACAAAGGGTGCTATTACAGTGACAGGGACTTATCAGTGAGTGACCTGCTGATGTTTAAGCAGAACAAGTGCTGATATGTCTGTGTGCATATTCCACCGATTAAACAAGTAAAGCAGACTTCATTATCCGGACGGGAAACCAAAGATAGAAGGCAACTACAGTTTGACATTCAGTGAAGTTGGACGCTCATCCAGCCACACAGCCAAACAGACAATACAATAAAACCACACATTATCAACCCACGCACGACAACAAACTTTGTAAACAGCGTGACAGCGATGGCCTGCCGTTCATACAGTACGATAACCAAGCAGACACACGGCGGTCTACAACACATGCACCCACAAACAAAAGACCAGCATCTAAGCGTAATCACAAATAATGATGAAACAATTTAGCAATGAAGTTTTCATCAGCACTGTTGCTTTCCTGCAGCTAGCTGGGTGCTCCTCTCTAACATGTTTATTTGCTTGGTTAGTAGTGTTTACGTTAGTGGAGCTAACAACGGGAGGAGACTTGTCAGGTCGAGTTGTCAATGAGAAAACATTTTTTATTTAGTTTTTTTTACACTTTTAATGTTACGAAAAACTGCGAGGTAAACAGAAATAAAGCAGACAGACGACTAGGTTTTTTCAACTCCAGACAGCAGCGGGGGGCCCAGCAAAGGGGGTGCTAAGAGGTGGAATCAATGACATTACAAACAGGCCACACAAGCACCCCGCTGGTGCTGTTTGCTGCCGAAGTTGAGAACCCCCTTGGCAGTGGAGGGGGCGCCCCCTCTCTGCTCTACAAAATACATTGTGTGTCTTGATTGCGGCAAAAGAAAAGAGAGACTCAGACCTCGTCAAACTAACTTTATTTGAAAATTCAACTAAATAACAAAATGCATGTTGAATTTGGCTCAAAGTGGGCCCCTTGAGACAACAGTGGGCCCGGGGCGGCTGCACCTTCTGCCCCTACACTCGCTCCGCTACTGCAACCACTCATATTGTGGGGGGGGGGGTCAACTGGTGGCACTCAACGTGGCCCTCAGGTCAATTTTGATATATCAATTAATTGGAAACATGAAGAAAACATGACAAAATCTGCCATGAAATCATGAAAACTAGAAATATGTCCAGAAGAATATTTGATCACTGGTATATGTTGAGTTAAATTTGAGACATAATTGACTGTAACCATTTTTGTATACTACAATTTGGCCCTCTGGCAGTGAGAGTTAAATCAATGTGGCCCTTGCTGTGACCAAAGTTGCCCCATCCCTGTTGTAGTGTCCTGTTTAGGGATTCATTTTTTGAAGTGAGGAGGACTACAAACTACAAACTGGTGTGTTTTCTGTAGCTCTGTACTACTCCGCCTACAAACAGTAGATGGCACTGCCATTTTCCATGCTAGTTGTATTGCAATTTTCTGCCTCCGCCACATTCTCCACTTTGTTTGTATACAGGAAACCATGGCGACTGAAACCGAGCATATCATGTTGGAGTTAGAGATGAAACACATTGAGCAGCAAGTTGGTTACACTGCAGTTATTGCAAAGAGGAAAAGGAAAGAAAGGAGAAATCAGAGGAGATGAGGAGATGGAATGTACGGGATTGGAATGGAATGGATGGAATGTTCAACTGGAAAGCATTGTTAGGTCAGACGACTAGTCAGCCCACAGTAAGCACACAGAGGTTCATCATACAAAGAACAACGTTTAGATGTGCAGGACAGGCCACGCACGTTGTCTTCTGATAAGGTACAGGGCTCTGGAAACTACAGCCTAGATTCCACACAGAAGTATAAATCATAGTTTCAAGGTTAAGTTCCACTCTATTCAGTAACTGTCAGTATTGAGCAAAGTAGTTTGAACACAAAAGAATTCAAAAAGCCCAACTAAAAGGGTCGAAAATTGCAATTACTTTTTTGTAAGAATGATTTTTCTTCTTTCAGTTTGCCGTTGTTACGAGAGCTTGCTTTCTAATGTATCTATTGACACATATCAAAGCTGCTTGTTCCTTAACAAAGAAGTAATGTTCCTGAGAATATCCTACCTGAGTTCATTAAAAGAAAACTCAAAGATTTTCTTATTTATGAGGAAGCAAATCATGGCCAGTTACTGGGACATTATTATGCATAACCAACCAAGAGAGTTTCAGAGTGAATGTATCTATAAAAAGTTTGAAAGTAAAAATGCACAAGCAGAAGAAAAACACAAGCCAAGAGTTCAGACCTGAGTACATAAGGACAAGTTTGTGTGGAGCAGAGGAGAAAAAAAAAAAAGTCAAGATGCTCAGCGGCGGTACGATCATTACTAATTTAACGTATCTGCCAACGTGGATATTGCCAGGTTGGGAGAGTGATGAATAGGTTACGTGAGGACCCGCGCTGCATGCAACCTCATGCTTGGATTGTTCTGGCTTTGTTATGACTGAAAATATGTGATTCCTGCTGTGTGGCAGTTAATCAGACAATTGATCAGTCCAGTGTGTCTCCTGCGAGTCAATATGACCGTCTGCCTTTTTGATTTGGAGATAACGGCCCCTTTATTGGACACGTGTCATTGCATTAGTGCCGTCTCCTGTCCTTTCCTTTACGTCTCCTCTGTCAAGACAAGCAAGAAAACCTCCCTCCGTCCAGCTCTCCCTCTCATCTCACCAGGGCGACCCTTTCTCCCATCAGGGAGATTTTAGCGGCCATTTTCAGTGCAATTAAATGTTAGCCTTTCTGCCTGCTGGCCATCTTTCCCAGGTGCTCCTGGGAGGTGTGTGAGCGGGGCAGCTAATGGCTACTCCTTAGTCTGAGTCTGACCAGCTGTTCCCTCCACAGACTGCACAGATGCCACTTCCTGCAAATATAACGCTTAAAAGACAGGATGTGTGCGCGCAATGGTTCAGTAGTTCTCTGCGATTATAGAACAGAATAGAATAGAATTACTTCATTGATCCCAAACTGGGAAATTGTGGAAATTAATTAAGGGTCAGTTAGAAAAGCGATTTCTAATATCTGACAAAAAAAACAGAAACTTTTCTATTATGTATTACAAATGCAAATGATCTGTATTAAGTATCTGAATATTTCTATTAAACGTTATTGAGTTTTTGTGTAAAATACTAGACTTTCTCAACTTTCTAGGCGTCCTAAAATCATTCTAAAAGAAATGAAAGGGAAAAGTTACTCTTTTGTTTGACCGTTGCTTTTTGACCACAGGTGAAATGTTCACACACGTAAGAACATCAAAGCCTTTTTTTTTCTAACACAGCCTGTTTAAAGCATGAGTTTTAAACCTCACTGTCTGTGTAAAAAAAAAAAAAAGTAAAACGACAGAATGGTGTTAGGGAAGTAACAACGGTGTAACAGAGACAGGATGGTACAGCCCTTGTGTTGTGTATGTGAAACTTTTGCTTTTTCTATTTTTACTTGTTTTATTTTTTTTTACAAGAAACGCCGTTTCTGCACTTTGACAAATATCACACTGGGACAGCAATATGAGGGCGCTGTGATAAAGGACCTTTTCAGCGGTGTGGTTGTGGATTCTGTGCATAAAGCAGCCTCTGTTTATTGTATTTCCTTCATGCTAAAACCTGTTGCAGGCATGCTTTCTATTATAATACAGTAATCTTGATTGAGCAGCCACTGTAAACCTGGTTTCGGTGAACCTGGGCATTATATATACTTTTGTGTTTCCGTCACATTGAATCCTTCCACATGTTGAGGAGATTATGAAAATAGACAGCAAAAAAAAAAAAACCTGCATGCTGGTGCCAATTACAAACACAAAGAATCAAGAATTCTAGTCAACTAGTCAACTATAGAGTATGAATAGAAATGGCGGGGTCAAATGCATACCACTTACACTCCGGGTATCTGTGTATCAAGGGGAAGATAGATCTGATTTTGATGTTCTGTGTGCTAAAGAGAGCATCAGATTACAGGGGTTGCACATTCTCGAGAGGTGTGAGCTGTGCGGTTCTCTCCGACAACAGATCTTTACTTTATTACAAAGCAGCGATATGAAAGAACAAGAGAATCTGTTCTCTACAACAGGTTTAGCCACAGTCAAATAATTGCTTGGAGCCTCAAGTTGGCCCCTCAACTTACCTGGCAAATTTAATCAATTTGAGTTGCACCCTGGAGATGGGCTCAATTTGGTCTATACAGTGGGACAGTGCAGTCAACACACAGCACATGCTGGTTCTACACACACACACACACACACACACACAGTGTCTTGCAACTACATGTGCAGACTTGCACACTGAGAAGGATATTACTCGAGATTCTTATTATCCATGTTTCATACCAATTCATGCAATGCACTCAGACAGACAGATGCACACATACCTCATGTTTATTCACTTAATTGAAGAGGACTACCCCATGCATCGAAAAAGCAACATTTATATCGAGCAAGCAGGATAAATTAAGTGCCGTCTTACAGAAATCCAACAGAGTCAAATAAGCGTGAATAAACATCACTGAAGTCTCTCGTAAGAAAGAGAAAGAGGCTGCGCTGACATTCAATAGTTGGAGGAGAGTGAAGATGGACACATGTTCTGACCAATACAGCTCTAGCATATATCAGTTAAGATAACCCAATTACTCAGGAGAGAATAAAATGGGTCTTGAGAAAATTGTAAAACATTAGGAGCAATGTCAGAGAAAATCACAGCAAAGCAAACGAGACATTCTAAATAAAACAGGGAAGGTTGTTTTTAAATGACCACGAGATGTGATTATTGGAAGGGTTGATTTGAGTACAGATTTTTTGGTATGGCTTTAGGTCAAGTATAATCAGCAGCTTTTCAGCTTTGGCTCATGGCACTTCGACTGTTCTATCTGCAGGGAAAAGAGAGCCAACTCTCTTAAATCCTCCATATGGTACAGAATAGCGACAATGAGGGAAACTCAGTACAATGAGCTGACTAGAAAGGGTTCCAAAATCAATGATAAAATATCTTTAACCACATTTATCCAACAGAGTATAACTGACATGCTGCGTGATGTAATCACTTCCCATTTCTGCCAATCTGCTTGGGCAAATTTAGCGGTAACAAATTAATTTATGATCATGGAAGAACAGTTACCACTCAAGCTATTCCGTGTGGTGACTCGGAAGTTTTTCTTTTTCAGTCAATGATTAATTAGGAAGGGAATGTTTCAGAGACGTTAAAGAAAACATCAGTGTTAGCCTTTATTAGTGTTATTCCACTATTCCTTTGAGTGTTCTTTCTCATTTACAAAACAGTTGTAATTGGCCATTACGCAGACACTCTGCATCTTCCACATTCACTTAAGTGTACATAGAGCGATCCATTGAAATGCCAAGGCGAATCCAAAAAAGCCATTAGCATGCTAACGGAGATGTTGGTGCTTTTTATTTTTTTATTTTTTTTATGGATGATACAATGTTTAAGCTCATTTGCTCTGGCACTTGCATGCAATTCCACTTTGCAGTGCAACTTTATTTCCAGGGAATTGAGGTCTTCTTATTAAAATCTAATTCTGTGCGGTTGTCTCTGAAGAAAAGACATTTAATGAAACCGGAGTGTGAGGTCTCTTACGAGCATCAGCCTGCATGAAGTGAAGCTGAAGAGATCATTCACGAGGATTTCTTGGCACAAACATATTGAGCGATGTTCAAATGTTCATGTGCATTGTATCGTAATGTATTCTTCCCTGAATTATTGTTGCGTGTCTTTATGTTCCCCAAGTATGATTTCTGTACATTTCATTAATAGTCCAGTACAGTGTCGGGATGTTTTACAGTGTAAAAACCAAATAAAAAAATGCAGGTACATTTATAAATAAAACTGTACATAAGATAAATATATTTATAATTCTATATGTGTGTTAGGGTTTCATTTATATCCATTTCAGCAGACACATTTAAGGAATCTTGTGAAAACTAAATGTGTAAAAAAATATTCAGCCACAAACTTTAAAAATCAGTTATAACAAAAGTTTTTTCCCATGTGTGGAAAGCTACCCCACCTTTATTGATTTAATATAAAACTAAGTATACGGTAACAGGTGCAAATGATAAAACGTTTAACTTTTGAGGGTCAAACCCATTCATCAAAACCATTCACAAGATCAGGTCTAAACATTCAGGTGCTTGATAGTAATCCATAACCAGTTTTCCCCCTGTGGTCTCCTCAAGTCCCTTAGATGAAAATATAAAAAACTGACATTCTACAAGTGAAGAGACTTTCAGACTGCTGCCATTCTGTTAGGATAAGGTCATCGTCTTTCATCGATTTACTTCAAAACGCTCGAAAAGGTTCTTCCAGCAAGTCCAGGGTAGAACGAAATGATTCAGAGTCGGCTCTCTGAAATGATACTGTGAAAGCATGAGTCAAGTGTAACTCAAATATCACCTGAACGACAGCGAGGAACACTTCACAGGACAACACTTGGGTGAAGAATAACACCAGTACAGCAGTGCATTCTGGACCATGTTAGGTAGCGAAATATTTCCTTTGAGAATGTCAGACTTCACCGTTGTAAAAGCATCATACTATATTTCACACTACCGCTTTTGGCCTTACCAGGACACTATTAACAGCACATGAACTTTTGGTGGAACTTAGCACTTTTCTGCTGGAACCAGGATTTTAAAAAAGTTCCAGGGGCTTAGTTTTAAACGCAAAAAATGTACCTGATCTGGGGTAGAACTATAGGTATGCAAAACAATGCAATTTCCTCATTGACACAACAGGAATATTCCAAATAAAGACATCGAAAAAGTCTGAGTCTATGTTTTTTCTTATTGTAACACAATAAGAAAAAACATTGACTCTACGAGTTATAGCTAATGTGCCTACTTTCAATTTTTCTTTTCATTGCACTTGATTTCTAATCGCACGATTGATCATTCTGATAATAAAACGTAAAACAAAACTTAAAATACTTTTTGAGTCTCCTGTGCATAGGCAGAACTTCTGAAAAAGTACCTGGACTTGGATTGGGCCTTGCATTGCTGAACATTGCTGATTGATGGTGTACAGGTTTGGCTTTGTAAAACATCAACAAGCTCATTTTCCAATTCTTCATGGGTCTTGTGACCTTGTTGAATACACAGACATTAGGGGGCTGGAGGAACACTTTAGGACCTAGCACTAAAATCCCCAGGAACATTTGGTGGAAAGGCGACAAAAGATTGCTCAAGAATAAGCAGTCTTAAGCATGGATGTACTGTTCCTGACCCCATAAAGTTACAGGGCCATGAGTAATCTTTCCTCTGTTCTTAGAACTGACTGATTTAAATTACAACCATGTTTTATGTATGTACAAAGTGCGTACTTTACTTTGATATAAAGTCCTCGCCCATGAGACAGACTCATATTCGTTTGAATCACACTTTGATGCAGTAATGCAAGAAAAGCAGAGTGCACTGGGTAGGATCAAAGATTCATATCGGCGATCCTTTATTTCTTTTATCCACAAATCTTTTAGAATTTATATTTCCTCTTTTATCAGTTTAATCCTTGAAGCAATGAGGAGGCTTTTTCACCTACAACCATACTGAATGTGGGTGGTTCTGTTCATAATTTCAGTGCAGTGTGAATATACCACGCTTTCTTTTAATTAAGCCACCTGGAATACATCTTTCATTAGTTCAACAAGGATACAACAGAGCATACCACTCTGCAGGACACTGTATCAGGTCACTGTGGATGTTCCCTGCATATCATTAGAAGCACAGGAGACAATGACATCCTGGGATTTATTTGACCTAGCGATTTAGACAGCTTTAGAAAGTTTTAAATGCAAGACTGAACACCATCAGTGCTGCCTTTTCTCAAAAATCTGTGCCTGGTTCTTTGAAATCAATACCACATTGGGGAATTTGGCTACAAATGCTGACAATATGGCTGCCCGGGTGGTATTCTCGAACTGATTAGCACAAAATACCAGTTTAGAAGACAAAAAAAAAGTGTTTCAGTGACACCATCTGTCCTCTGTGAGAAGTTTGGGCTGCCATATGTTCATATTTAGGATGTAATACATTCTCGCCTTGTGACTCTGCAAAATCCAGACAACAGCATCAGCTTCCCACTTGGGAGAAGTTGTTCTGGACTTTTATTCTCCATTAAGAAAACAATATTATGTTGGGGTGGGGAGTGCACAGAGAGAAAAGCTGATTTGATTGGCTGATTTGATTCGATTGATGCCAGCCCCAAACACAGCCGCCGATAATGAATTCCTAATCAAACCCAGTTTCCAGCTCAGGCAGCGTTGCCAACTGTGCCACAGGTGCAGGTTTCCTGCATGTGCACACGTAGGCACATCCTGTGAACCCTGCACTGTTCCCTACACTGTGTACCATGCACCATTAATTTGTGAAATTGGGGATAATTGTTCTATTTTTCTCATCTCAATGCTTGTTGAGAAAAACTGGGTTTTGCATTAAATGTGTCTTTGCAGGAACATATTTACTCGTAATTTCTGAACAATTGCAACACATCTAACCTAGAAATATGCACCCTGAGCTTTTCTGGACTTTTTCTTTATGCCACACTAGCAAGAGGTTCATAGGTTTCACTCTGTTCTCTATATATATTCGTCAAAACAACACAATTCTGATTTGATGAGTTATCATAAATGCCATCATCTGCATCACATAGTGATCAAACCTGCAACATGTCTGCAACATTACCAAGTAATGCTCACTGGTTTCCAAACATATCATTCATTTTGTCCATTTCCTAGTCATAACTACAAACAGAACTCAATTGACAAATACTGCTGTACTGACCTGAACTGTTGCCCATTGTGGACAGTAAATTGATGTTTTCCATCAGGCCAGATGAGCGTGAACTGACGTACATGTTGGTGGAATTGAAATCGGACTGCTTCTCACAGAGAAGCATATTCATACTGCCCATCATGTTATTTTGGAAATCCAATGAACTAGCAGCCTTAAATATCATAGAGTTCTGCAGCCTGGCCACCTAGAGGAAGGAAAGTATACGTCAAGTATTGGGAGAGAAACAGAAAGAACAGAAAAACAACCAAAACCTCAATTACTGTAAAAGACAAATAGGTAAATGTACCTCCTCAAACACTGGTTGTGCATCTTGTGTAGTTTTCCTCAACAGTGCTGCTGTGTCTATTGCATTAAGATCCAATGATGCCGGAAGCTGAAGAAGAGCATGAAAAAAGGGGGTTTCAGCTTTAACATGAATGACCAAAACATAACATAATAATAACATAAGAAATACATTGTGTAAACTTGCATCGAGTGTCAAGCAGAGGCTTTATAAGGAGTGCCTGACGAACGACAAAGTTGAAAAATGTATGGGAGTTACAGGTGCAGAAAGACAATAATGAGGGAGAAAAGAAGGCTAAGAGAGGAATGCAAAGGGACAAGTAAGAACCAAAGCAGTTTCCCTTAGATCTGTTCGCTTAACTCAAATCACACAGCTCTTTGTAACTGAGGCCTCAAAGTGCTGTTTGTGTTTCTTCTTCTCTAACAAGGTAAGCTGATTGAGAAAAGTAGTCGTTCATAATTACATTAGCGTCCTGCAGCTCTAATGATGTAAAAGTGTGAACTGCAATTAAGATGTTTCTGTAAAAGACTGAGCAGACAGCGTTACTTTGGAATGACTTGTTGAGCTCCACATCGGTTTAAATGAACTGCCTTTCTATGGATTCTCAGATCATATCCAGGAACACAAACACGATGTTTTTCGGAGTCGATGTCTAAATGTTACTCAGTGATAAACCCTGACGTCCTCCCTTGTCCCTGTCTTTATGTTGTTGTTCTTATCACGATCATTCAGCTTCGTCAAGCTGTAAGTGTGAAGGCTTGATGTTCTCTTCCATCCATTTGCTCATGGCACTCAAGAGTTTCTCCCTCCTATCTTGTCTGGCTTCTCCTTTCTCCCCCCCCCCCCCCCCCCCCCCCTTGTCTGAAAATGCCTGTGGGCTTTAATTGTTCAAATGCTCCCGCCGACGAACTTCCTGCCTTATCACTTATTTATTGGATTTGCTGTCCCGTATATTTCCCCTCAAAGATAAACTGGAAGAGAAGTGCGGGCTTTCATCATCCCAAAGGAAACTCAGAGATTTAAAAGAATTCAGGAAAACATTGGTTCTAATAAATAATTCCCACCTGATTGCGTGCATTCGAGTAAAATCACTTGAAGACACGGAGGTGCACATGAGCGTGACAATTTTTAAAAGCTCAGACAGTGTGGGAGAGAAAATGACTTCTCACTTCAAATGGATGAAACAAAAACACATTGAGATAATGGGGAAGGAATGAAGTATTGTGGTAAGGTTCGGCCTTAAAGTGGTTAGCATTTTTTTTTTTTTACTTTCAAAGATACTTCTTCTTCTCTGTACGTCAAGGAGCCAGACAAGCAGAAAATTTAATTTTTAAATGGTTAACCTCAATTTTCTAGCAGAGCCAATTGAGGTTAACTGTGTTTTTGAATTCAATTCACTACAAGCCATGAAGGATTTAAAGTTAGGTAACAGAGCGTGCACCTACAATACCTTTTAAGCTGTAATCAAGCTCATCTAAGGAGATTTTAGCTGGTAATAAAACTGAAATGAATAGTGACGCCTCCGAGACCATCAGTATGAAGCTGAAGAAAATTATTTCATGAAGTTGCTTTAATGTCTGACATCACAGCGTAGGGGTCATTACAAGTGATTAACTGCACACTGCATCCTTATCATTTAATTTACCATAACAAAGATTCTCGATGAGTGATACACTGTTAAAAAACAAGAGGATTGGTGAGCAGAGGGGCTAGAGTTAGTGTGCACACCATGTACTGAGGCTTAAGTCTTAGGTTAGGAGCCGACCTATATATATACCCACTGTCCTATCTCTGAATAAAAGGCATACATAGTCAAAAACAGAAAAAACAGGATGATTGGGGCGCAGATGGCCTAGCTGTTAGGTTGCATCCAACGTACAGAGGCTTGTCTCCAGGCGGGCAACCCGGGTTTAAGTCCAACCTGTGGCTCATTTCCAGTCTGCTGTTGCCCACTCTCTCCCCCAGTTTCCTACTCAATCCACTGTCCTATCGATAAAAGGCTTAAAGCCGAAAAAAAAAAAACATCTTAGACATAAACAGGACAAATGTCCACAAGGGGCGCCGCAATCGAAACAAAGTGAAAGTTCCTCACAGGAGCTTTAAGAGTGCTGTTTATTCCACATGACTCAATTTTAGGTGATTACCTTTCATGACTCTAACACAGAAGATTCTAGATACAACTTGGCATTTTGGAACATCACAAAACCCCTGCAATACCTTGGAAATGTGTTTTTTCTCGGGAGTAAATTTCACAATATGGCACCAGAATATTAACAACTTTTGCATCAACTTCACTTAGAACAGGGCAGCTGAAAGTTCTCCCTCAATGGTTCACTGAGCTTGACAGAAGCACACATCTAACCCCCTCACTAACGAGCCTTAAAAGATCTTTAAGAAACCATTTTGGGTCAGCAAACAGGAAATAACAAGTGTTCAGCAGAGCAAAATAACTATCTATGTTATTGTGGGAAATATGATGTTCATGTATATAGCCATAGCGGTCTCTGGAGTTAATTAAAAATGGAGAATCTGAGATGTTCTTAAAAAAAATGCCCCAAACATTATAAATGTAAAAAAAAAATATGAATCATTTGAAAGACCTAGTGAAAATGCACCGTGAGATATTCTCCTGTTGCATCAGCCGAAGCAGAGGCATCTCAAGAGTTTCAAACTGTCATGTTTAATGCATGCTCTCTTAGCCCGGACTGTGTGATTTGTAAGGATGCTGGATGAGGTGACCTTGCTGTGTAGGAATTTGGGCTTTATCAGACTCAGACATTATGTCCTGTATTAACAGCGCAGTGTCCTCATTAGGACAATTAGTGAAAACACAGTTTCCAAATGCATGCTCTCTTTACTTTGCATCAAATTAGTCCGATTGTGTCCTCATCATCTTCATGATGCTTATTTCCTTCAACTGTCATTAAACTCAAATCAGAGAAGCTGTGATCGTCATTGGGCGGCTGCGGGGAAAGCTCACCTCCGAAAGCACTTTCCTCTCGTCCAGGTTCTGCAGGAGAACTTGCTGGGTGTTAATCAGCTGCTGTGGAGTGAGGGAGCAGCTGACATTTTGAAATGCCTCCTTTTCAGCTTGGCTGCTAAATTGGACATACTGATCCAGATCTGTCCCCTCACACAGGATGCTCCTCAGGCTGCCTGGCCGTGGGATTCCCGTCATCTGAAAAAAGAAAAAAAAAAAAAAAACAACAACAACTCTGGTAGAAGTAGACGAACAAGAGAACTTTGCATTGATTTATTCATGTACTGTGTCGTCTGTGTTGTCGTGCAGGCAGATGTTATGCAAAAATCACATTTCAAAATCAGAAGTTTTCATCAAAATTATTTTTCTGACACACAGTGCTGTTAATATGCAAAAACACTGACAGTGTCACTTGTCGCAGCAGTAATACCGTGCGGTATGAATGGCAGTAGCAGTAGCAGAGGCAGTAGAATGGCTCATAACTTCCTTTTTTTTAGGAAACTTACTTTCAGGGCACAGAGCTGAGTGTGCAACCATTAGAACGCCTCAGACACTGTGGGGATCTTTTAATCAGTGCACATTGTATTTAAGCATCCTTGTCAATGTCAGTGAAGCATAATTATCATCTCGCAGCTCATCTGATATCACTCGGTACATACAGCAGTATCAGTGGGGAAACATTCAGAGACAAGACAGCCTTATTGCAAGTTCATTTACTTCCAAATTACCTGCTGAAGACAGCTTCAAACAGCTCAAATACTTTGGTTTGCTTTGATTAACACTGTCAAGACAAAGAGTCCCACAGGCACGTCTGGCCAGGACATTTTATTCTTAAATGTTCAAGGACAACACTCTTTGAAATTAAATTAAACATTTCAATTCCATTCATTTATAGGAGAAGGTGGCAAAGCAGGCAGAGACTGTTTTTGCAGCTTTTAAAATGCAAGCGGTGTTGAGAAATGATACTCACTTGGTTTAGTTTTATCTGTGCATTCATGAGGCTTCTGACCACTTCTGGCGGCACGGACAAATTCTCGTCCAGATGATTGGAGAAAGTCTCCTTGTCTCTGAGGATAGTCCTCAGGATCACTGGTTGAGCTTAAACATAAAGATCGGAAATTAGTGCAAAGCAAAGACAGCCAACCTGACAACATGAAATGCAGTGTATAGCAGTTTTCTCCTGCAAACAGAAAACTCAAGTCTTAACTTGAGTTAAGTTTAAGCTTCCTTACTTGCTCTATGCATGCATTTCACATTTTGCAGCCAAATCTCAAGCCTTTCTTTCCCTGTCCCCATTCTTTGTCTATCCTCCTGCATTTCTACCCTCCTGTTCACAAATGAGGAATGGGTGCATGGAGAAAAACATGTGAGAAGTAGGGTCGTTTGGCCTAGTGGACACCTACGCCGACCACGGAGAGAGCCTGTCGTGTAACTAATAGGACAGCAGCTCTTCTGCTGTTGGTCTAACGAAGCACCAGAGAATTTATTCTGTTGTTGAAAGGACAACGTTAAAGATGAAGTCCCTGTCTTCAAGATCACTGTTGTGCAGCTGCTGATGTCAAAATAAACCCTTTCCTTCCTTGTTTTTTTCACTTTTCAACCAGAAACATGAAATGCAGACTTGTTGATTCGGTTTTTAATGTGAGTGTAAATTATCCCTTTTAGATGACAGCCGCAATTAAATCCTTTAATGATGCAAATGAGGGTTGAACACTTGAGTTGCATGTGTGTGTGTGTGTGTGTGCGTGAGAGGGGAATATTTGTTTGCTAAACATGTAGCAGATTATTAAACAACCATATTCACATATTTAGCTGCCCACAGTCAGTCTGCTTTTTAAAAGGGACATCTTTAAAAACCAATTGACATCGCTGGATCCTCACATACTGTGTCGTGTGCTTGTGAGAAGATGAAGGGGGTTATGCAATTTAATTAGAGCATTTAGGCCTTCAATGAATGCAATACATGCAAGTAGGTCGATTAAGGGGATGAGAGGATGGAATGACATATGCTGAGTTAACCAAGAATCACTTAAGATAAATGTTTGGTAATTATGAATTATTCCTAAGGGATGAAACAATACATCCAACTCGCGAACACAATGCGATCCTATACAAAACGATGTGATATAAACACCGTGGGCTCTTCATGATTATTTCGCAATGTTGGGCAATCAGCTTGCAATACACAATGAATGGGCTGCCGTGTTCGTACGTCTATTTAGCTGCTGACGTAAGGGACTTGATGAAGTCAGACAAGAGAGGCCAAAAGCAGATATGGATCGCAAATCTTTTTTATCTTGCATCTTAACGCCAGGAATACATGCATCATGTATGCCTGGTCTTTGAGTCAAATGTGCAACTTGATGCAGAGCTCAAACACTGATTCCTCCTAAAAACATGTTTTTATTCCTCTCTTTTGCAGGACGATCAAGGGGGTCGGATGTGGTCATATTACAGGGGTGTAGAACATGTTGCTTGTAGAACACTTTCGCCTTTCTGATTGAAGTGACCATCGGAGTCTTTTAATCAACTCTGGGTAATAACAAAAAAGGGACAACACAATCGCCTTTGCCATCCCAGTCTTTTGATACCACTCCATTCCCCATTCTTGTCAATGACCTTTCGCGTTCTCTTCTCTGACAGAGAATGCCGTTAATTATGCCCGGGCTTAGATCATTGATGGATTTAATCTTGTACTTTACAAGCCAGCGACCCCAAAATGCAAATGGACCAACATGAAGAACCCCCCCCTCCTCTTCCCCCTTTGTCTTTTTGCAAATTAGGTGGCGTATGAAAATCTGAATATCATCAGGCTAAATGAGCCTAATGCAAAGCAGCAAGTTATCAAGACAAACGATCTGTCACACTGCATGGCAAATTGCATCATAAATAATGGCGCCATTGTTTTTGAGGGATAAAGGGGAATAACAAATCCTCCAAGTTGTCATCCACATGAAGGGGATACTTTCCTTGATGGAGAGTCCTTAATAAAGACATAGCAGAGGGATTGTTGAGGATCACTATTGCATATACCAATTATATCTGGAGCCATTACTCAGAAGCAGTCACACATTTCCTTCAAAAAAGACAGATCTGTAGTTTGACCTTGTTGCTTTACAGGGATTGTGTGTGAAAATGACATGGAAAATAAAGGGCTGTTTGAGGTAAGTGTCTCAAAATTGAGGTGTTTGTATTCTCTAACCATTGCCAGGGTTGGACTGTGACAGGACTGAAGACCACTGTTCAATGTCATCCGCCAGCAGCTGAGCCTTACTGAGAATCGACCCGTTCACCACGAGGGTTTGCAGCTCTATTAACATCCCTGCAACTCTGGTTCACCAAAAAGACAAAAAAAAAAGAAGCTCATTATTCCTTTTAAAATGTAAATTCCATGAAGATATTCAGTTACATTCCCATGTATAACCTTAGAAGACAGTGGAGGAAACATCCCAGTACTCACATGGAGTTGTGGAAGTTGTTGACTTGGCCTGGTGTCTCCCCGGGCGTTGGATAGTTCAAACAGGGATTGTTGATGTTACATATCATCCTTGAAGCCAGGGCAGCACGCCAGCCGATGGCATGGCTTTATTTGGGTAGTGGCCTGAAGGAATAGGGATGAGCGCATACAGTTTGTTTTTACTTGGCTGCAGTGCTAACACATTGTTGTTTGGAGGTATAGATGCACAGCAGAGGTTAGCAACTTGCCGAATCGTTACACTTCCTCAACATTTTGACAGAAAGATAAGCCTTGAGGAATGACAGAACACATTACACCTTAGCAGTTGTTCTACAGGTGTTTGAAATGAATTGCAAAAAGGTTGTCAAAATGTTTTGATGCATCGATACTTTCTGCCAAATCTCTGCCAAATGCTACTGAATACTTTTTTAAAGGTATCAAAAAGCAATGAAGCTTTTAAAAAAAAACCTACCGCTCTTAAGTCATATTTTAGAGAGAGCACTGTCCAAACTGCAAAAATACATTGGCAACTTTTCTGTACTGAAACGCTGCTCATGTATTATTGCCATTTAGACATTGTGCAGGACTCTGCATGCCATTTCTATTCATTAAAAACAAGAAATGACCCAGTATTACCCAGGACTTTTAAATGTGTATCGAAACAGGTCTTAATATTATTTGATTTTGACAAGTATGATATTTAGGTTTAAAATCCTGACAACCCTAGCTTGTACTTACATTGGCCTTTGTAAATTGGGTTGTTGGTGGTGCGCACCCACACCAGAATGAAGAAGAGAAACAGAGGCCATATCACTTCAACGACCAGACGCACCTGCACAGGGGATAAATCAGGTTTATTTTAATAATTTGTTTGTGGAATACATGTGTATTACTTTCATAATTTGCATGGTGTTTCACGTATGAAATGTATATCTAGTCAAAGATCTGACTTGTAGGTAGATTTATCACCATCTCAAACAGAAACCTCTGAGGTGTTCCTGTTGTGATACTGTTTATGATGGACTAAAGAACCTAATAGATCTGTGTTTCTCTGTGTGTGTGTGTGTGTGTGTGTGTGTGTAGATCATGCATAGT